ATGTTATGTTACTGTCGTGTGACATGGCTCGGTGCTTTTGCTCTGTGTTTTGCTGAAACTGCCATGGTTTTCAGGAGAAAAACTTTAATGTAAATTTTCCACTGTTAATAAGCAGAGGAAATAAGGTCTTTTTATTTCCTAGAAAGTGTTCACTTTTTAAACATGCGCTTCTGACAAATGCCCGATTTTTGGTGTCAATTTAGGTCTCCACGAGTGCAAAATACAAGAAAAAAATTTAATCCAAATGACCTGAAACTTATACTTTTAGTACTGGTTCACTCAGGCCTTTATTCTGGCAATGTTTGGGAAAACACTTTTTTCTATCTTGTCTATCCTTAGTTGATCCTTAGAGCAAACTGCTCTTAAGTGTAGAATACATGATGTCTACGAATAATTTTTGTTATGAAACATGTCGAAATATGTTTATGAAGATGCCTACGAAATCGAAGTTCTTGCTTGGACGTCTAAAAATGGCGCAATTGGTCAAAATACCCTTTATGGTTTTTCGTCTAACCTGCTTTATTTTCAGGGACCAAACTAGCCATTTAGATATGGTATACCCATAGCGTAGCTCTTTCTTTAGAACCTCGTGTAAACATAATTATTATGTACATTTAAATGATAAATGATAAATGATAAATCACAAGAATTAATTGTCAATAAGGGTCAGATCAAGTCAGGTTGAATTTTATTCCCCCGAAAAAGAAGTGAAACTGTGCTCCTGTTTACTTTAGGTAGCATTATGCTTGCATTTTACACTTGTTTGCTTTGACAGTGGATTTTTCGAGCACCCTTTCATTTTTCAAATGCACACTTGTACCTCTCATAAGTGCTTCTCCAAGTTTCACCAACACATAATTGTGATCTCAGGCTGTAAAAGTGACAGTTTGAACTCGGGTTTTATTCCAATCATAAACCAGCAATCTGCAAACATGTAATTCAATGTTGCTTGCAAACAAAACAAGAAGTTTGATGCAAGATCCAGATTACATGTAAAATTCAACCATATCTTACACATTGTTTCAATTATGTGGAAACACTCCTTGCCAAATTACTTTTCTTGATGAAGGATAAATAAATAAAAGTTGTGAAAGACTATGCACACATTTTTCGTTCAATAGTATATTTGCAATTAACATTTTTTTTCCATTTCACTTGTCCATCAGACAGGTACTTTCCAGGTTTTGGTTGTCCAAATGTAAAATTCACTCATATGCAAATATATGACAAACAATATGTTGCCTACTACCTAAACAATAACACAGTACTGAAACATACCACTTTATCTGCATATCACTTTATCAACAACTGCAGTAAAAGTGAACTAAAATACTGAACAATGTTGTTAGTCTGTTACAGTACGAACTTATACACACATTTTTCGTTCAATAGTATATTTGCAATTAACATTTTTTTTCCATTTCACTTGTCCATCGGACAGGTACTTTCCAGGTTTTGGTTGTCCAAATGTAAAATTCACTCATGCAAATATATGACAAACAATATGTTGCCTACTACCTAAACAATAACACAGTACTGAAACATACCACTTTATCTGCATATCACTTTATCAACAACTGCAGTAAAAGTGAACTAAAATACTGAACAATGTTGTTAGTCTGTTACAGTACGAACTTATATAGAGAACCAAACAAGAAAATTAAAGCTTAAGTCCTTAACAGTAATTCATGGTTGGTTTTTGATTGAAATAGGGTGCCAAAAAACCCCTAATTTATTTGGCGCTTAAGTAGCAAATGGTATAACCAAATGTCCAGGGTTCTCCCTAGTTTTCAGCACAACAGGTAAGGGACCTTTTCAAACTGGTAAAGCACTTGGTTAATGTTGGACTTTCTGCAAAGGATAAGTGACAATTTGAATTTATGCACCACGTTGGTTGAGCTAACATCAGCGCTGTCCCTCTAAGTATAAAAATGACCTTCCCACAATCAAATTTTCTTTTTACTCTCCGTAGCCTTACTGACTGCTTGTGTTCTTCTGAATTGCTATGCTCTGATATTGCGGCCTTCCTGTAACGTGTACCAGGCGCAGTAGCACATTTCACATTTTTGCCTGTTTTAATATGCTTTTTTTACAAAGACAACAAAGCATTCCATCGCCCTCTTTACATGCAAATGCCAGCCATCATACACTACTTTTACAGCAGAATACAATGTCATCATCGATCCAGTCATGCTTGAAAACATGGGGCTTTGATGGCAACTGCCTGCTTATTTCATTGAAAGATAGCAACTTCAGCTGTTATTTGCACATAGTATATGAAGGTGTAAACCATGGGGTTGGCTACTACCAAAAGCGTCTTCCAGAATGCCTAAATGCTGCTTTTCTGAAATGCGAGAGGGTTTAAATGTTTTTAATTCTGATGCTGCTTCTAATGGCAATTTTGACAGTGTCATATCTTTGGGTGGTAATTGGTTGTCATCTTCTGGAGGTGATGCACTAACTGACTTGGATGTTTCTACTGATTTTCTATAACAGTGCACTGTTTCTTTTTTCATCTATTACTTTCTTGCCAGATTAGCTCACCGTAAATGCATATTTTTTTATGACTTCTGAGCGTTTGCAGGTGGTAATAGGTGCTCTTACAAGCGGTAAATTTTACCGCTTACCGCGTGATAAGGAGAACCCTGAATGTCATGCAGCCAAGTATTTGAGGTTAATGATGATCATTATTGTCACGGAAATAAACAGTGATGCTTCACATTGCCATGTTCATTGTTCGCTTATTTGCTTGAAACTGTTTCCTCTATAAACTTTCATTTTCTCTGCAACCAAAACCTATTATGAATTAACACATAAGTATTTTCTTATGTAAAAATTCAATCAAGTCTGATAAAATTCAGGCTAACTCTATATGCTAATTTTGCAATGGAATATGACATGCATGGAGGAATGCCATCAGCTACGAGGAAGAACATGGAATTTTTTAAATACGGTCAGCATTTCTTGAACAATAGCATATGACAGTGCAACGAATGCATTGGCAGCAAGTTACTTCTCAATAATTGATTCTATGCAAGCTATAAACTCCCAATCTTAAAAGGCTGAGAAAAGAAAATGTTTGACACAGTAGATTTTACTCATCCACTCAGATGAGTACTTTGTGGGTTTTAATTGTCTGAGCTTAAAACAGCTCATCTCAGACATGCGGATGGGTGGAAGGTTTTTACCATGATTGAAACAAAACATATATCTGACTAAAATTATTATTTGTAACAGTAACTGAGGTGGTTTGCCAACTTCACTTAAAAATGGCAAGCTTTTGAAACAAGCAAATTTAAATACAATGGTCATTATAGCAATGCAGTGACTTTCTGTAATGTCCAGGAAAGAAATCAAAGTGCTTTATTAGCACTGAGGAAGGGCTAGGCCCGAAACGTCTGCTACAAACATCATTTTTCATTTGGCATTGCATTATTACTATTTACAACTTTTTAACTGTTAACTCTGCCGCACAGCAACTGATCCTTTTGGATTACAAATATCTATTAGCAAACCCGTCAATTTCCCAGTGGATGATGATTGACATGTGTGACTTACGGGTTATTTCCAGAGGGTTTTTTAAATTCATTTGATGTTGAGGTAGTATGATAATTATGAAACAGATGATTCATTCCAGACAAGACAAGAGGGAAAGAGGGCAAGAGAGGAACTTAAGTTAAGATAAACTTCTTACCTTGTTTTGAGCATACAAGACTTATGATTTTTTTCCCTTTAATGCTTTCCTTTTGTTACTAATAAAACTAGACAGTTCAACTCCTTAACATGATTGTATAGTCCAAAATTTATAGAGCAATACAGAGGCTATGTCGAGAAAAAGGTTGTCACTGTATATCATGGGAGATTAAGCACTTAATGACTGGCCCCAAGGGAAACAGTGAGTTTTGGTTCCTCTTGACCCTCAGTGCTCCCCGAGGGGAAGCCGAGGGGAACATTGAGGGTTGAGGGGAAACAAAACTCACTGTTTCCTACAGGACCAGTCATTGAGTGTTTTGTTACACCTCCTAACTCAGAAATAGAAAAAACTGCGAAGAAATTGTTTGCTTGATGCTGGCTGGCTCACAAATTTGCTGCAGTTTCAAGGAGCACAACCTGATCACTTGCAAGTCTAAAGTTCAAGGTGTTGTTTCCCTAGGGAGTTAGTGAGTTTTGTTCACCCCAGGGAGTTAGTGAGTTTTGGCCCACAACACATGACACGTTCTCCTCAATCGGAAAACGTATTTGAGTTGGGAGGTATAAGAAAAGAGTTTGTCTCATGATCTACATGCTTTGAGATGTACATCCCAATATTTCAAGTGTTTACTGCTAGTTTCATCAGGCAGTGAGGTTTATGTTAACAATGTTACTATGTTTCACAGGCCATCAGGCAGTGAGGTTTATGTTAACAATGTTACTATTTCTCACAGGCCATCAGGCAGTGAGGTTTATGTTAACAATGTTACTGTGTCTCACAGGCCATCAGGCAATGAGGTTTATGTTAACAATGTTACTATATCTCACAGGCCATCAGGCAGTGAGGTTTATGTTAACAATGTTACTATGTGTCACAGGCCATCAGGCGATGAGGTTTATGTTAACAATGTTACCATGTCTCTCAAGCCATCAGGCAGTGAGGTTTATATTGACAATGTTACTGTGTCTCGCAGGCCATCAGGCAGTGAGGTTTATGTTAACAATGTTACTATCTCTCACAGGCCATCAGGCAATGAGGTTTATGTTAACAATGTTACTATCTCTCACAAGCCATCAGGCAATGAGGTTTATGTTAACAATGTTACTATCTCTCACAGGCCATCAGGCAGTGAGGTTTATGTTAACAATGTTACTGTGTCACAGGCCATCAGGCGATGAGGTTTATGTTAACAATGTTACTATGTCTCAGAGGCCATCAGGCAGTGAGGTTTATGTTAACAATGTTACTATGTCTCACAGGCCATCAGGCGATGAGGTTACTGACAGGTCACATTCTCTTTTCTCTGTAGGATGGCCATGAACTTCCCCCTCCGATAGGATTTGACCTTCCTTCTGAAGAATCTCTTCCTTCATCAAAGGCAATGCATTGTTGTGATAGCTGTATTAACAATTCCTTTTCCAAATATAGTATTTTCTTCAATTAAGGATGTTCATGCCAAAATCTTCTTATGTTTAGTACATGCAAATTTTTACAGATAACAACCAACTCATGTCAGAAACCCAAAAACTTTGGGGTGGGCACCCTACTTGTTTTGTAGCTAAAGCATTTTGAAGACCTAACTCTTAAACATGATAACTATTCCATTGCTTTCAGCACAAAATAACACTATTTGAGATCTCTAGGTAAGGTTCAATGTGTTAATTCAACCAAATGGCCCTATTTAGTAATAGTTTCCAACTTATATCATCCTTTCACTCAGATTTAGCTCTATAGAAAGAAAGTAGAATATTTAAAAAGCATCATACAACAAGTTTTGACATACAATGTGTAGCTTATGCCATCTTCAGTGTATGAAAACTGAATTGAGACACTCAATGTGTAATGAATGTAGGTAACTTGATTGTTTTCTTTGTAGTTCATAGAGTATTCCAACAGACGTTTTGTAGGAGTTTCTTTTATTGTTGTATATACATAATTATATCAATTGTTTATTATGTCTCCAGTTAGCATGGGTGCTTAAGTATTTTGACACGTAAATTAAGTTATTTTGGTAAAGATAAAGAATCTGATCCCACCAAATGCATTGGCCAACACATCAGCCAACACATCAGGTGATACGCCACCATCACACTACAGATTTGCAGTTTTACTGCAGGGTAAACTATTCAGTGATGTCTTCCAGCAGCTGCTTGAATGCTCTCTCTCTTCCGAAGTCCCCGAACCAAGTGAACTCATCTAAGAAACTGGGTACCGGTATGTATTAGTACAGGGTACCACATATCCACTTTTACTTCTTATTGAGCGAGGCCCACATGCCTTCAATGGTATTGGTGTGTGCACCACTTTCAGAATCAACAAAGTTCCTAGAGTTATTCACCGACAGTAGATGTATCCTAGCTGGTTGGGTGGTATGTGTAGAGTGGACTTATCAGAGTAGGTGACAGTCCAGGAAAGATGTGCATAGTGATAAGATGATGCGCAAGCATTACTCTAGTTCAGTCAGGAACACGGAAGAGGGTCACATTGCGTGATCCTCACTCCATTATACCATACACTCAGGGAGCTTCCAAGGCTCTCCTTTTCATATACTTCCTCTTGGCACTTAACTTGGAGTCATTAATCTCCAAGGTTTTCTCCACAGTCTTCTCCACCATCTTCCCTATGCCTCTGTATGTATGTATTAGTACAGGGTATCACATATCCACTTCTACTTCTTCTTGAGCAAGGTCCACATGCATTCAATGGTATGTGCAGAGTGGATTTATCAGAGTAGGTGACAGTCCAGGAAAGATGTGCATAATGATAAGATGATGCACAAGCATTAATCTAGTTCAGTCAGGAACACGGAAGAGGGTCACATTGCGTGATCCTCACTCCATTATACCATACACTCAGGGAGCTTCCAAGACTCACCTTCTTATGTACTTCCTCTCGGTACTAAACTTGGAGTCATCAATCTCCATGGTCTTCCCTATGCCTCCGATTCTAATTCCGGTATCACGTGTAGATTAACTTAGGATCAAACTCTCTTTCATTAAACCAATTACCATTCCAGAAAAGCAGCCAATCACAATGCTTATTGTTGAGCCAATGAAATGACTGCTGGTGCACTTTTGGTTGACTGTTGGCGGACATGTTGGGCCATGTGTTTGCTGTTGTATCACTTAGATTGGGTTTTTTACCTTAATCATTACTTCATTCATTTTCATTTCATTTTGCATTGTGTTCTCTGTCAAGACTCTACAGTACCTGTCTGCATAAATGGGTAGTGGAAAACTAAATGCTGGGGTGAAAGCAACTCCCCTTGGGGAAGTAGAAATACTCCTAGTTGCCTAATGCTACATAAATTAGGATTAACTCCAGCAGTATGGGCCTTTTTGGTTGAAGGGGAGAAATTTCCACCAGGGGCCTTAGGCTGTGTCTAAACTTTTGGGGGCTTCCTTTCAAAAAAACAACCACATATCCCTAGGGGTAGTTACTTACCAATACACCACAGGCAAATGCTTGTTACCCTGTGTATGCAATATATATTGTGGGGGGTTATTGAGTGACATTTATTTTTTATTTTTAGGAAAGTTTCCTTGGTGATCCTGCAATTAAAGACTTGGTACTAAAATTCCTTGAGCAGTATGTATTTCTTTTCTTTTAAACACAGTGGAAAGCATCCCGATTACAACAGATTAGTGATAATCTTTGCTTTTGTGAAGTTGAGTAAAAGTTAGAATTATGCTGTTATTAAAAATAACCATAATTATTCAATTGTTTATTGATGTTCAATAAGGGTTAGTAAAGGAATGCTGCAGGTGTGCTCTTTAAGTTACAAACAGTTTTCTTCTGCAAATAAAAATAAGTTGTACTTCCTTTCTTCTATTATGAAACAAATGTTAGAGCAGGTGGATATGAGCTAAACCAATTCAAGTAACAGATAATATGCATATTGTGCTGCAATATGCATTGTATGGAGAAATAACCACGGTTTTAAAGTTTAGTGGTTTTTTTTCATGGAAATTTGCTGTTTGTTGATAGTGTTAGTGGCTCTAAAGCATTGTGTATGATTGTCTTTGTGGCTCACGTGATTCCAAAGCAGTTAACCATTTCTACATGTACCAGTATTAAATACATATCTTTACAACATAAAGCCATTCTGAAGATATCAGTTATTTTCCTTGCCTATTAAAAAATTTCTTTATTAGCATTTTGGGGACATACATATACTGCTGAATGTGTATGAGCCGACATTTTTTCTCAAAATGCACTCTAAAAAGTGGTAGTTGTATTGAAAAGTATTTTTTTCGGCTGGGTCAGGCTGAGCATGAGATGGGGTGGTACAGTTGAGCAAGTATCAAACCCCAGCTGGTCTGTTTAAACCCATGACAGGGATGTAAAGCAGACTGTCTATCTGCCAGAAGTGCCCATGTCTCTCAAAAGCATTCAATATGTGTTGAAGTACAATGTAAATGTCAATCAACTATGGATGAATATATACAGTATATCAGGTGTCAGATCACCATGTGTTGCATATGGATGCTTGTACTGCTGCTTTGACTCTACATGTACATTTCCGATTTAGAGCTATGATCACTATCAACAGTAGCAGCAACAACAATGCACCTGTGTTTTTATTTATTACTTAAGCTCTCCTCTGCATAAGTGTTCTAATGTTGATTAGCTAGTTAAGAAATAAAATAACAGCTCTAGTCACTTGCTATTTTAATTTTTACAAGCATTTATTGCATTACATAAAGAAAAGTAATTGTCTAAAATGAGACTCACATCTACTGCAATCAGATTAGAGCTATTTTGTACATGTGGAGGCATGCTGTTTGTGTATGTTTGTTCCATCCTATTTTGATGTTTTCATGTTCTTGTTTACTCTTGTCACCTTTTTTTCTTTGTACAATTCTTTCTTGTTTCATTCGTTACTTTAAAGCTGATTTTTATGTTTTGGATTGATTTATAGTTTTAAACCATGTATTCCAACCTGTGGCATCCTTTGCAGGAAAATAAGCACTTAGTTGTTTGTCTCGTATAGGTATTTTAAGGTCTATGACACAGAAGATAGACAGGGTCTCCTAGAAGCCTACCACGATCAGGTTAGTTGGTAAAGTGAATGAGTGTAACCAATGTAATCGTTAGCAGGGCAGCTAGCCAGACATACAAGGCATGGTAAACTGTTACCAGTGTTCCAAGTTATGCAAAAATGGAAAACATTTAATTTTCAAATTCCTTTTATCCTAAATACGACAACCTCTCTAAGCGAATGTACACATGTTAGTACATTTAGCTCAACCTGACTTATTCAAAAATTGTACAAAGATCTAACTGGAAGCGATACCTATTTGTGCTTGTGGATGTCTTTGTGGGAAAGAGGGTTGTTGTGATGACCATATTGTTGTTTGGACATAGCTTGACAAAGCCCTCCCCATTTTGTGACCTTTTCCTGTGCAGTCTGTGATGGCATACCACTTCTTCTTTGTCATCTTGCTGTTCCCTGACCTTTGCATTCGAGCCCTCTATCAAGAGCACTATATTGTGTTTGGTTTGTGTTTTTGTTTTGTCAATGATGGGTTTCACCTGCTCATAAAAGTGAAGACATTCTTTGCATCATTTATTGGGGCATATACTTAAACAGTGGTAGTTCCTGATATTGAATGAGTTTAACTTTGCTGTGATGATTGAATCATTCACTGGTGACTAAGAGAGAACACCTGCTTTCAGAGTTATGTACATAAGCAACATTTTACGATCATCTTTTGACTTACGATCTTTCGACATACTGTGTAACCAGGCCTGAATATGCTCGTTTGTTCAACCTGTCCAAATTGGAAAATGGTGAAGGATCTGTCGGAGGATTTGCGTTGGCAGGTGATATATCATTGGTATATTTATGGTTCTTCAATCAAGGAAACTCAACGAAGGCTATTTGTTTCAAAACGCTTTGTTTCCAACATAAGAGTATTGTATGAGAGGACCAAGAATGTAAAGCATGCAATGAGAAGGGAAAGACAAAGAGTGCTGTCTTGTGAGTATCAAATCGTGCTACTCAAGTTTTCGAAGGCATTTTTCAGTGCTATCAAGACTGAAGGATACCTAGTAGCACTATCTCTTTCAACACAGATTGTGGCAATTCCCTGATAAGGAGAATGGCGGTAACAAAACCAGAATTGTTTATTTATGAATATTTATATTCATTGGTTTCACGATGTCACAGGAAGAGTTATTTCATCACAGGCGCCCAAGTTCACGATGTAAGGAGTTATCTTTTTTTACTTTTATGCAAACATTCAGCGAAACATGACATGGGCCAACATATACTATTACATAACAACCGAATTTAAATGCACAAAAGGTGACTCTCACCTTGCTGCATATAGAGGTTTTGTGTTACAACGGTTTCAATTTATTAAATGAAAGATGAAAACCGCAAGGTTTTAAGAAATATTACATTTACTTAATTGGGATTTTCAGGATGATTAGTGTACATCACTAGATCCAGAGGAAATTGATAACACCGTAATTATTTTTGATGCAAGCTCTTTATAGTTTAATTCAAATTTTATTTTGTTTTAGATGAGAAAATTGAGGTAAAAGAGGTCTAAAGAGCAGTCAAATCTTTATCAAATATAAAGACACCTACTACCTTCCTGGAAAAAGTAGCTGCCTAAGCTATTACCAGGCATGCCTTTTTTGTATTCAAGCAAAATTTGTATGATGCTTTGTGATGCCAACTTATTCTTTTTTATTTGTTACAGAGAACAATGGGCAGATCTCCTTGTGGTAGCCTCCTTACTAACATTGGTTATTATGTCAGGGAAGAAAGATATACTTGGGTTTCTGCCATGGGTGTAAAAGAAGTTGTCACTACTCACACTATTCAAAAGACATTTGTGACGGCTGACTTCATTTTTGCTCTATATCACTTCATATTGCCACATGTGGGGGGATTTGCACTGGGAGAACCCCACTCTGTTGTTGTAATGGATAATGCTCATATTCGTGACTCCAATGAGGGTATAAGGATGATCAGAGAAAGAGGAGGCATTGTTGTATTTCTTCCATGAGTTGAACTGTGTAACAAAAATTAGTCCAAAAAGGCTTGCCAGGCCATATCTAGTGGTTCAATAACAAGTTGAAGATGGGTTTTTTCATCTGATTTTCATAATAATTATTATTATAAAAATCAACAATTAAAAATCAGGTCAATAACTGAACTTCTGAGAATTGCACGATGACAATTATTTGATAATTTAAGCAACAATTTTGCATTTCTTCAAGGGCATGACTAAAGGGGGTCATGGGATGCCCATAACCCCCCTTTTGTGAGCCTTTTTTAGGCAAACGACCTACAACAGGTGGCAAAATGCCATGACAATCTGGTGAGTACCCTCACTTTGACCCTTGTAAAATAGATACCTGGATCACACCAAGATTCCTGGCACTCACCAGGATCCCGCTGGGATCCCGCTTAGGTGGCCCATTTTACCAGCGGGATCCTTCCCGGGAAAAATTCTCACCATGTATCTTGGCAAGAATCCTGCTGACAAATATGTACTTGTGGGTATCCCACCAAGGAAAAAAACTCCCCCAGGATACTGGCGAGAATCTTGCTGGCAAGCAAAATATTAGTAGCATTCCCAGCGAGAACTAAACTGTTGCCAAGAAAAGTGCTTGCGTAGAAATTCCCCCCAAGAAGTCGCACATTCTCGTGGCCGAAACAGAAATCCTAGCAAGGGTGCATTAAACCTGATCTTGAGATTTGATCCTGGAAGCAAGTGCCACTCTAAAACTATCGTGAGCCATATCTAGATAAAGTTTAATATTTATTACGACTCAATTTTACAGTTTGGCTTGTCGAAAACGAGCCGTAAACATGCTGCTTGTGTCTAGACAATTGGAGCTTTTAATGGCAACGACTAACTGAGTGCTCTGAACATGCTTTATGGTTTATAGAAGAAAGATAAGATCTTTGGTCACTTTTGTGTGTGTACCTTCTTTTTTTAATTTCTGCAGGATTTTAATTACAAGTCCATAGGTAGGATTACCTCTCTGCTCTCGGGCATCCCGTGACCATCACTGAAGCGATAATCTTCCAATGGCAAACTCCAAAAATTGCCTGTAATATAAACGCTCACTTGGCCTTGAAAATTTACTTGTGACAGCATTTGGCAAATCTTTTTGGTGAAGATCTTCCCAAAGGCCACACAAATAGCAAACTTGCCACTGGAATCAGCAAGGTCATTAAGGTCGTTAACCCAGCAATACGATCGGCTGACTAAAATCATGTGGGACATAGCCCATGCTATCATGCGAGAAGGGGAGAAAACCTTTGGGAAAGTTTGAGGGCTCCTTCGAGTGCTGCTAAAAAAGCCACATTAGAAAAGAGCTGTAAAATTGTTTGTTTGCCTGGTTTGTTTACTTCGAAGCTTCAGCGAGGACCTTTCTAGAGGGAAAAGCTGTTTTGTTGAAGTTGTTGTAGATTGCGTGCTAGGTGTGTGACGTCAAACCATGGATGTTATCATGTTATCTTCTTCGCTTGAGTAAAAGGTTAGTTTCCCTTTCATTGCCATTTCTGTAATGACTTTCTTTTACTACAAAAAATTGTTATGTGCAGATATCGAAAAATGTTAAAGTGAGCAAAAGAATATTCACATTCACATTTCTTTTTGGCATAAAGCCTGGTTTACACCGCGACATGAGCACAAGCACGGGCATAAACATAAGCATGAGCATAAGCAGTGTAAACCGGGAGTGACATAAGCATAAGGAAAAAGGAATCATTTCCATTTTCCTACGCTTATGCTTAGCCTTATGTCGCTAAAATAAGTGTGTAAACTGAGTGTAACATAAGCATAAGCAAAATCCCAAGGAAGCAGCTGTGTTTGATGCCTGCAGATATTCAAGATAATAGTGTCCAATGCTACTCCACAGTCCAAAATGGCGTCTGAGAATACTGTTTTCTTGCCAAGATAGTTTGCAATTATCCCTACCTCTACGACAAATGCTCAGATGATTTCAAGAATACAAATGAAAAAAAGCTTTGCTGGAAAGATGTTGCAGAAGCAGTTGGTGTTAGTACTGGTAACAACTTACAACAACAACAACTTTATTATGACTCGCATATTTACAAGTGAGCATTAAGGTAAGTGAACATTATTCAGCCGTGTTCTTGAACAAGGTCATCTGAAATTTAAGATATAAAGTGCACAATGCAAGTTTTCACATCAATAAATTGCCCTGTCACAAGAGATGAAGCCAAGACACTCTTCCACAAAGAAGATAATCGAGGGTAAAAAAAGTATCTGGCACAGGCACTGTTGAAGTTACACAAGCCGTGAAAGATGCTTTTGAAATTTGTCCCTTTATGGCTCATTTCATACTCCCGCAGCTTCATTCTGGAACTCATTGGGCTTGTTTATGTCACTTTCTTCTGCTTATGCAACAAGTGTGAATATTCATTATGCTTATGTTTGTGCTTGTGCTTATGCTTATGCCAATTTGTGTACATGAGCTTAGGCATTTTATCTTTTTGCGAACCAAACAACTGTGACTAAATTTTCTCTAAGTTAATTAATTAAATCATGTTGCTTTGAGTAGTCATTTATCAGTCTGTTTATCTNTTTAAACACAGTGGAAAGCATCCCGATTACAACAGATTAGTGATAATCTTTGCTTTTGTGAAGTTGAGTAAAAGTTAGAATTATGCTGTTATTAAAAATAACCATAATTATTCAATTGTTTATTGATGTTCAATAAGGGTTAGTAAAGGAATGCTGCAGGTGTGCTCTTTAAGTTACAAACAGTTTTCTTCTGCAAATAAAAATAAGTTGTACTTCCTTTCTTCTATTATGAAACAAATGTTAGAGCAGGTGGATATGAGCTAAACCAATTCAAGTAACAGATAATATGCATATTGTGTTGCAATATGCATTGTATGGAGAAATAACCACGGTTTTAAAGTTTAGTGGTTTTTTTTCATGGAAATTTGCTGTTTGTTGATAGTGTTAGTGGCTCTAAAGCATTGTGTATGATTGTCTTTGTGGCTCACGTGATTCCAAAGCAGTTAACCATTTCTACATGTACCAGTATTAAATACATATCTTTACAACATAAAGCCATTCTGAAGATATCAGTTATTTTCCTTGCCTATTAAAAAATTTCTTTATTAGCATTTTGGGGACATACATATACTGCTGAATGTGTATGAGCCGACATTTTTTCTCAAAATGCACTCTAAAAAGTGGTAGTTGTATTGAAAAGTATTTTTTTCGGCTGGGTCAGGCTGAGCATGAGATGGGGTGGTACAGTTGAGCAAGTATCAAACCCCAGCTGGTCTGTTTAAACCCATGACAGGGATGTAAAGCAGACTGTCTATCTGCCAGAAGTGCCCATGTCTCTCAAAAGCATTCAATATGTGTTGAAGTACAATGTAAATGTCAATCAACTATGGATGAATATATACAGTATATCAGGTGTCAGATCACCATGTGTTGCATATGGATGCTTGTACTGCTGCTTTGACTCTACATGTACATTTCCGATTTAGAGCTATGATCACTATCAACAGTAGCAGCAACAACAATGCACCTGTGTTTTTATTTATTACTTAAGCTCTCCTCTGCATAAGTGTTCTAATGTTGATTAGCTAGTTAAGAAATAAAATAACAGCTCTAGTCACTTGCTATTTTAATTTTTACAAGCATTTATTGCATTACATAAAGAAAAGTAATTGTCTAAAATGAGACTCACATCTACTGCAATCAGATTAGAGCTATTTTGTACATGTGGAGGCATGCTGTTTGTGTATGTTTGTTCCATCCTATTTTGATGTTTTCATGTTCTTGTTTACTCTTGTCACCTTTTTTTCTTTGTACAATTCTTTCTTGTTTCATTCGTTACTTTAAAGCTGATTTTTATGTTTTGGATTGATTTATAGTTTTAAACCATGTATTCCAACCTGTGGCATCCTTTGCAGGAAAATAAGCACTTAGTTGTTTGTCTCGTATAGGTATTTTAAGGTCTATGACACAGAAGATAGACAGGGTCTCCTAGAAGCCTACCACGATCAGGTTAGTTGGTAAAGTGAATGAGTGTAACCAATGTAATCGTTAGCAGGGCAGCTAGCCAGACATACAAGGCATGGTAAACTGTTACCAGTGTTCCAAGTTATGCAAAAATGGAAAACATTTAATTTTCAAATTCCTTTTATCCTAAATACGACAACCTCTCTAAGCGAATGTACACATGTTAGTACATTTAGCTCAACCTGACTTATTCAAAAATTGTACAAAGATCTAACTGGAAGCGATACCTATTTGTGCTTGTGGATGTCTTTGTGGGAAAGAGGGTTGTTGTGATGACCATATTGTTGTTTGGACATAGCTTGACAAAGCCCTCCCCATTTTGTGACCTTTTCCTGTGCAGTCTGTGATGGCATACCACTTCTTCTTTGTCATCTTGCTGTTCCCTGACCTTTGCATTCGAGCCCTCTATCAAGAGCACTATATTGTGTTTGGTTTGTGTTTTTGTTTTGTCAATGATGGGTTTCACCTGCTCATAAAAGTGAAGACATTCTTTGCATCATTTATTGGGGCATATACTTAAACAGTGGTAGTTCCTGATATTGAATGAGTTTAACTTTGCTGTGATGATTGAATCATTCACTGGTGACTAAGAGAGAACACCTGCTTTCAGAGTTATGTACATAAGCAACATTTTACGATCATCTTTTGACTTACGATCTTTCGACATACTGTGTAACCAGGCCTGAATATGCTCGTTTGTTCAACCTGTCCAAATTGGAAAATGGTGAAGGATCTGTCGGAGGATTTGCGTTGGCAGGTGATATATCATTGGTATATTTATGGTTCTTCAATCAAGGAAACTCAACGAAGGCTATTTGTTTCAAAACGCTTTGTTTCCAACATAAGAGTATTGTATGAGAGGACCAAGAATGTAAAGCATGCAATGAGAAGGGAAAGACAAAGAGTGCTGTCTTGTGAGTATCAAATCGTGCTACTCAAGTTTTCGAAGGCATTTTTCAGTGCTATCAAGACTGAAGGATACCTAGTAGCACTATCTCTTTCAACACAGATTGTGGCAATTCCCTGATAAGGAGAATGGCGGTAACAAAACCAGAATTGTTTATTTATGAATATTTATATTCATTGGTTTCACGATGTCACAGGAAGAGTTATTTCATCACAGGCGCCCAAGTTCACGATGTAAGGAGTTATCTTTTTTTACTTTTATGCAAACATTCAGCGAAACATGACATGGGCCAACATATACTATTACATAACAACCGAATTTAAATGCACAAAAGGTGACTCTCACCTTGCTGCATATAGAGGTTTTGTGTTACAACGGTTTCAATTTATTAAATGAAAGATGAAAACCGCAAGGTTTTAAGAAATATTACATTTACTTAATTGGGATTTTCAGGATGATTAGTGTACATCACTAGATCCAGAGGAAATTGATAACACCGTAATTATTTTTGATGCAAGCTCTTTATAGTTTAATTCAAATTTTATTTTGTTTTAGATGAGAAAATTGAGGTAAAAGAGGTCTAAAGAGCAGTCAAATCTTTATCAAATATAAAGACACCTACTACCTTCCTGGAAAAAGTAGCTGCCTAAGCTATTACCAGGCATGCCTTTTTTGTATTCAAGCAAAATTTGTATGATGCTTTGTGATGCCAACTTATTCTTTTTTATTTGTTACAGAGAACAATGGGCAGATCTCCTTGTGGTAGCCTCCTTACTAACATTGGTTATTATGTCAGGGAAGAAAGATATACTTGGGTTTCTGCCATGGGTGTAAAAGAAGTTGTCACTACTCACACTATTCAAAAGACATTTGTGACGGCTGACTTCATTTTTGCTCTATATCACTTCATATTGCCACATGTGGGGGGATTTGCACTGGGAGAACCCCACTCTGTTGTTGTAATGGATAATGCTCATATTCGTGACTCCAATGAGGGTATAAGGATGATCAGAGAAAGAGGAGGCATTGTTGTATTTCTTCCATGAGTTGAACTGTGTAACAAAAATTAGTCCAAAAAGGCTTGCCAGGCCATATCTAGTGGTTCAATAACAAGTTGAAGATGGGTTTTTTCATCTGATTTTCATAATAATTATTATTATAAAAATCAACAATTAAAAATCAGGTCAATAACTGAACTTCTGAGAATTGCACGATGACAATTATTTGATAATTTAAGCAACAATTTTGCATTTCTTCAAGGGCATGACTAAAGGGGGTCATGGGATGCCCATAACCCCCCTTTTGTGAGCCTTTTTTAGGCAAACGACCTACAACAGGTGGCAAAATGCCATGACAATCTGGTGAGTACCCTCACTTTGACCCTTGTAAAATAGATACCTGGATCACACCAAGATTCCTGGCACTCACCAGGATCCCGCTGGGATCCCGCTTAGGTGGCCCATTTTACCAGCGGGATCCTTCCCGGGAAAAATTCTCACCATGTATCTTGGCAAGAATCCTGCTGACAAATATGTACTTGTGGGTATCCCACCAAGGAAAAAAACTCCCCCAGGATACTGGCGAGAATCTTGCTGGCAAGCAAAATATTAGTAGCATTCCCAGCGAGAACTAAACTGTTGCCAAGAAAAGTGCTTGCGTAGAAATTCCCCCCAAGAAGTCGCACATTCTCGTGGCCGAAACAGAAATCCTAGCAAGGGTGCATTAAACCTGATCTTGAGATTTGATCCTGGAAGCAAGTGCCACTCTAAAACTATCGTGAGCCATATCTAGATAAAGTTTAATATTTATTACGACTCAATTTTACAGTTTGGCTTGTCGAAAACGAGCCGTAAACATGCTGCTTGTGTCTAGACAATTGGAGCTTTTAATGGCAACGACTAACTGAGTGCTCTGAACATGCTTTATGGTTTATAGAAGAAAGATAAGATCTTTGGTCACTTTTGTGTGTGTACCTTCTTTTTTTAATTTCTGCAGGATTTTAATTACAAGTCCATAGGTAGGATTACCTCTCTGCTCTCGGGCATCCCGTGACCATCACTGAAGCGATAATCTTCCAATGGCAAACTCCAAAAATTGCCTGTAATATAAACGCTCACTTGGCCTTGAAAATTTACTTGTGACAGCATTTGGCAAATCTTTTTGGTGAAGATCTTCCCAAAGGCCACACAAATAGCAAACTTGCCACTGGAATCAGCAAGGTCATTAAGGTCGTTAACCCAGCAATACGATCGGCTGACTAAAATCATGTGGGACATAGCCCATGCTATCATGCGAGAAGGGGAGAAAACCTTTGGGAAAGTTTGAGGGCTCCTTCGAGTGCTGCTAAAAAAGCCACATTAGAAAAGAGCTGTAAAATTGTTTGTTTGCCTGGTTTGTTTACTTCGAAGCTTCAGCGAGGACCTTTCTAGAGGGAAAAGCTGTTTTGTTGAAGTTGTTGTAGATTGCGTGCTAGGTGTGTGACGTCAAACCATGGATGTTATCATGTTATCTTCTTCGCTTGAGTAAAAGGTTAGTTTCCCTTTCATTGCCATTTCTGTAATGACTTTCTTTTACTACAAAAAATTGTTATGTGCAGATATCGAAAAATGTTAAAGTGAGCAAAAGAATATTCACATTCACATTTCTTTTTGGCATAAAGCCTGGTTTACACCGCGACATGAGCACAAGCACGGGCATAAACATAAGCATGAGCATAAGCAGTGTAAACCGGGAGTGACATAAGCATAAGGAAAAAGGAATCATTTCCATTTTCCTACGCTTATGCTTAGCCTTATGTCGCTAAAATAAGTGTGTAAACTGAGTGTAACATAAGCATAAGCAAAATCCCAAGGAAGCAGCTGTGTTTGATGCCTGCAGATATTCAAGATAATAGTGTCCAATGCTACTCCACAGTCCAAAATGGCGTCTGAGAATACTGTTTTCTTGCCAAGATAGTTTGCAATTATCCCTACCTCTACGACAAATGCTCAGATGATTTCAAGAATACAAATGAAAAAAAGCTTTGCTGGAAAGATGTTGCAGAAGCAGTTGGTGTTAGTACTGGTAACAACTTACAACAACAACAACTTTATTATGACTCGCATATTTACAAGTGAGCATTAAGGTAAGTGAACATTATTCAGCCGTGTTCTTGAACAAGGTCATCTGAAATTTAAGATATAAAGTGCACAATGCAAGTTTTCACATCAATAAATTGCCCTGTCACAAGAGATGAAGCCAAGACACTCTTCCACAAAGAAGATAATCGAGGGTAAAAAAAGTATCTGGCACAGGCACTGTTGAAGTTACACAAGCCGTGAAAGATGCTTTTGAAATTTGTCCCTTTATGGCTCATTTCATACTCCCGCAGCTTCATTCTGGAACTCATTGGGCTTGTTTATGTCACTTTCTTCTGCTTATGCAACAAGTGTGAATATTCATTATGCTTATGTTTGTGCTTGTGCTTATGCTTATGCCAATTTGTGTACATGAGCTTAGGCATTTTATCTTTTTGCGAACCAAACAACTGTGACTAAATTTTCTCTAAGTTAATTAATTAAATCATGTTGCTTTGAGTAGTCATTTATCAGTCTGTTTATCTTGCTATCCAGCTGTTTTTAAACTTCAAACTTTTCACCATGAATTTGGCCGGAATTTCTCATTCTTAAATTGTTGCCAACGTTTTTCTGTGTCACTGTCATCTAACCGCCGTACGTCTATATGTGTAAGTACGTTTTTAATTAATTAAGTTAGTTTTGTCCGTATTTTAACTACTCTGAAGCAAGTAAACACTGGGAAGCTTTAACCTTTATTTTAAAGAGGATGGTTCCAAAAGGAATTACTGGCAACATGTCCAAAATTTTGCCAAGATTCCCAGCAAGATCGTGCCAAGATTTTGGCCACCGTGAATTTGCTTCTTGGTGAGATTCGTGGTAGGATTACGGTAAGATTTTGACCACAAATATTTTTGCTTCCCAGCGAGAATCTTGGCGAGAATAAAGGCAGGATCCTAACGAGGTTTTGGATGCCAAGAATAAAAATCCCGGCGGCCAAAATCTCACTGGGATCCCAGCAGGAT